ATTTCATTTTTTGTAGCAATTGTAAATAAATCGTTATTATTAGTGCCATTAAGAATGTTAGTGATGTCGATTTCAATATCATTGTTGTAGTTGTTATCATATCTTAAATTATTTAAAGTTGCAATTGTGGGCGTTGATGCGGGGGATTGTTGTGATGCTATTAACGTGGCAGATGCTAAAGAGGATAAAATATCTATGCTGCTGGTCGTCTTTAATGGTGTTGATTTGTTTATTTTTTGATAATCAGGATTGAAATCTTCTGAATAAAAAGAAAATAAAAATTTTTTGTTATCGTTAAAATTATCAATATATCACTTTTCCCATTAATCACTACGTTATTACCATCATCATTGATATTATTACTACTATAATCATCGCCGATATTATTTTCAATGCTTGGTAATATGAATGTAAAGTCAACATCTCCAATTTGAATTCTTGTCCTATAAATGATGATTAAAAGTGTGTTAGGTATTATGATGATGATGGTGATGATGTCGGTGATGATGGTGATGATGATGATGACGATGATGATGACGACTATCATAACAATATATACAAAATTCATTATTAAAAAATGCAAAATTCTATTCATACCTGTCTTCTAATTCCACAGTATCTCCTTGTTCAACGATCAAAGTCTTTAAACATTGTCCTGTATCAGAATCCCAAATTCGTCTAAAAATTTATTTCAATTTTAAAATAAAAATTTATTAAACCGTAATAATTCTAAATTTTTAAATGTAATATATATATATAAATACATTGCACCGTCATAACTACACGAAGCAATCAATGTTCCATCATGATTAAAGTGTACACCAGAAACTGGATCAGAATGTGCAGACATAATTCTTAGACACGTTCCTTCAAATTAATTAATTAAAGACGCGAATTTTTTAATACTTTGCGATAAAGTTATAATTAACCAAGCAATTTATAATACCATTTATAGGATCCCATGTTCTTACAGTTTCATCAAATGACCCTGAAACTATAATGTTCCCTCGTGGACTATAATTTACACAAAATACGTAATTCGTATGACCTTTAAGTACTTTTATTGATTCGTCCTGTGAAAAAAAAGCAATTTATAAATATATTTATAAATTAATATCAATAAAATCAATCAAATTTATCATTTATATTCAAGATACCATATTCAAATTCCAAATTCTTATAGTTGTATCGTCTGATCCAGAACACAGAGTCAATGAATCATTGCGCCATGCCATATCAGAAACACCTTGTTTATGTCCTTCAAAAGTTTTTTCATATTGGCCATTAATTGCATTCCAAATTTTTATCGTTTTATCAGCAGCTATATTTTTCAGTTAAAATTAAAAAGTTAAGCATTAATTTTATCTTTCTAGCATGCGCACACATTACTTACAAGCACTTGCTAACCAATTTCCATCTGGTGAAAATTTTACACTAGATACAGCTTTCTTATGTCCAATCAAACTGTATTTCAAAAAGTAGTTGGGTTTCGTTTTTGAATTTGTTTGTGTAGAATCCATGATATTTAATGATTATTATTTTACAATAAGATTTATATGTACAACGTTACACTAAAATTTGGATAACTACGTCCCATAGTTTTTTCAATTTTATTTTCTTTAAACTTTCATCACTTGCCATTTTAAACAATGTCTTCTTACTATAACGATCGACGAGGTGGTAATGACGATAAAAGATGGAGTGCTAGTAGTTATGAAAACTATGCAAGACTATATGTTGGTATGTGTATATATACGTTACTTTTACACAGCTATTCATTGATCGATTTGTTTGATCGATTAGTTTAAAATTTATTACAACTTTTCTTTGTTATATTATATATGCCTGTAAATTATAATTGATTTGTTTATATTTATGTGATTGGTTTTTAGGACGAATCTCTAGATCTATCACAGAACGTGATATTGATGATGCTTTTGCAAAGTATGGAAGGATTCGTGATATTGATGTAATTATTTAATTGGATTTACATATTCGATTTAATATATATATATATATATATATATATATGATTTTAAAAAGCTAATTAATTCTTTTTTAAAATTTTTATTATTTATTAGATGAAGGTAAAAATCATGCTTGTGTTTAATTTTTTTAAAATGACTAAAACAATTAATATATTTATAAATTTTTATTTAGAATGGCTTTTGCTTTATACATTTTGATGATCCGAGAGATGCGGAAGATGCGATGAGGTGAGGAGCGAAAAATATAAAAAATATATATTAAAAAAAAGGAGGAGCGGTGCTGTAATCTATACAAAAAAATGGGGGTGCAACATGAGACTGCGATAAAATTTGTGATCCTGTTGTGGTGCCCATATAAAAACATATATATATGTGTGTGTATATATATATATATATATATATGATGTGTATACATATGTAATATGTGTATATATGTGTATATGTATGAATGTATATGTATATATATATATGTATGTATATGTATTTATGTAAAGATCATGGTGTTTGCTATTTGGTGCGAGAAAAAAAGGAGTTACTGGTGCCTTTGGTCTCTTTTGAAGTATCGCCGAAGGAGAGCTTGCCATATTTTAACACAGTTATAATTCAGGGCTTTAGATGGTGTACGTATACCAGGGAATGATGAAAGAATTATTGTAGAAGTTGCAAGAGGTACATATTTACAGTTAAAGAGATTAAGAGAATTTGCACTTTGATATAAATATATTTATACATCTATGTTTATAAATTTATATGTTTTGGGGGGGTTGATTTAATTAGGAAGTAATTGGCGGCAAAATCGAGAAAGTCGGTATAGGGGACGTTATTATAATAATAGACAACCTCGTGAAAGATGCTTTAATTGTGGTCAAATAGGTAAAAAACTAATTTTTTTAAAAAAAAAATAGAACTGATTTATTAATATTAAAATGTTTTTTTTTCCCCAATGAATTAATTAGGTCATTGGTAAGAATATCTTGGACTTTTTTCTTATAAGATTTTTATTTTTAAAAAAAAAATATCATTGATTTTATACACATATTTTTAGGGCTAGGGATTGGTATGTGTAATTGAAATTATATATATATATATATTATGATTTTAATAATAGATAATACAATTGGTCTTTATTGCTATTTTTATAAAAATTGTTTTATAATAGTCCTCAACCGCCAGGAAGGTGAGAAAATAATATAATCATCTATGTGACTTGCGTACATTTATTATTATTATTACTTGCAAGTTGGATTCCGCTCAAGTTTGTTGTTTTAAGGCGCAACAATACATTCCCATATTAATATGTGTATTACGTAGGATAATGAACACAGGCTAAACTTGTACATTTCATTGATGGTGGATGGATGATGGGTAGGTTTCATTACATGTTACAAGAATCCCAAAAAAGAAATATTTGTTTATTGGGGATCTTCTTTGCAGGAAACGGCCTGTATTATTACGATAATCACGAATGAATTGATTGATTGATTCATCACATCATATATAAAATATATAAAATAAAATTAGTGAAAATGAATTTATTTAATATTAATTAAATATTTTTATTTTAGAATATTAATAGCATCATTTGAAAATCAGTTTAATGCACACACATGAAAAACAGGAGAAGATTTTAGAGGGAAGAAGACTTTATATTTGAAAATTTCTAAATTTCTAAATGAGGAAAATGTGAGTAATATTTATTTATTTTAAGTCCGAAAATCATATACATAAAAATGAATGAGATTTCAGAAATATTTATAGAATTATAATATAATAAACAATGATCTTTCCTCTCGATAATAAATAATAAATTCGTTTTTCTTCTCCCTGTTTCTTCTTTTTTAAATAAATATTTGCAACAATTATATCGTTGAAATAGAGAAGAGGAATAATAACATCATAGTAATGGTTAATCAATCTTTTCACACGACAACAACATTATCATCAATTACTCCACGTTGGCAGAATTGCAATAATCGCAATAATAATAATCATTATCTTTTAGAAAACAAAAGAATGTTTCTTTCGTTTCCTCATGCCAGAGATATAGCCATCTATGCCGCTGGTGGACTGGTAATTATATATATATATATAGCAATTAGCAATATCATGACAATAACGAAATATATTATATTTATATTTAATTTATCAATATAATATATATAAATAGTTTTTGTTAGGATGGTGGATATTTATCGATGCAATTATTTACAAGACTATTTATAATGAAATTTCTCCAATTGCATTCGAGGATTGGATAAGTGGGATATTAACAACTATTGGAATGATATTGTAAATAAATAAATAAACATATCTATTAATTAATAACTAATTGGAATATTGGATATTAATTAATAATGACTTTTTGTAGAGTGAATACAATTGACAAGTCAATTATTTCAGATGAGATTTATAGTTATGGTGAATCACGTAGGACGCTCTGGAAAGCGCGCCTATTAATACTCTTAGGATTTACATTGATGGCTTTTGGATTATGTGGTTCAGTGGTAAATATATTATAATTAGATTATTCGTGGTATTTTTTTATTTATAATGTTAACATTAAATCCTTAACTTCCAATCGTTAATTTTCAATTAAGGCTGTATTTGTATTGGATTGTATATTAACCGAAGCATCTGTTCAATCAATCCATTTTGGAATTGTAATTGTGGTTCAAAATTTTTGTATAATGATGAGGTAAAGAAAATTTTTGATATTTTTTTTTTTTAATTCAAACCACACAAGACTTGACTTTTTTATTTATTTTATTTTTATTTTTTTTTAAAAAAAACAATAGTTCCATAGTTTTGTTAATAGCACAAAATTCAAAAGATGATTACAAAGATTATTTTTCGTATTAAAATTATTTATTTATTTATCTATTAATGCCAACTTTCTTGTTAATTAATAATAGTCATTATAGTATTTATGTAATATTAATAATAAATTTATTTATCAGATTTATAAAATGTGGCTTATTTTTTTTGAAGATGGCTTTGCTCAAAAAGTTTTCTATTATATATATATGTGTGTGTTTGCATAGCCATCGGTTATAAAAAATAATAAATTAAATAACAATTATAAAAATATAAAAATATAAAAATTTTTTTAAAAAAGTTTTTTTTAAATATGATGATGAATTTAAAATGTTATCGAAATAAAACTATATTATTACTAATATTAATAATAATTATAACAACAATCACAGTAATAGCACAACCACAAGATGAAGGAAATGTTTTTCTATTAGATGATGACAGTACTAGTAATATCGACTTTAAAATTAGGGAGGAGGTGGATTATAATAATTTTGATATTTACGATAATAGTAATTTTAATGACTACCATGAATTAGATCTTGACAACGAGAACGATGATAATGATGATGATGATGATGATGATGATGATGATGATGATGATGATGATGATGATAATGATGATGATTCTGTGGTAACTATTACAGCTGTATCAACTTTTAGAGTTCCGGTTACCGTTACTATTACAGCCAGTGATAGTGTCGCACCATTGACCTCAACACCAAATGAATCAACAACAAAACCATCACCAAAACCAACATCGACAAATAAATCAATAACAGAATCACCACCTGGAGCAAAAAAAACTACATCACCAAATCCAGAAGCGACTACAGAATCACCACCTGGAGCAAAAACAACTACATCACCAAATCCAGAAGCGCCTACAGAATCATCATCGCCAAAAGTAGAAGAAACCACGAAATCACCATCTCCAGAATCACCATCTCCAGAAGTAGAAGAAACCACGAAATCGCCACCACCACCACCACCATCACCATCACCATCACCTAAGGCAAAAGATAATATAGAATCAACATCAATAAAAGCAGAAGCAACCACAGGATTGTCGTCACCAAATCCAGAAGCAACCACAGGATCGTCATCACCAAATCCAGAAGTAACTACAGAATCGCCACTAAATGCAGAAGATACTACAGGTCCAAAAGAAACAGAATCATCATTACCAACAGAAAGAACTACAGAATCACCATCGCCAGCAACTTCAACAATAACGCCAATGAAGTCATCAACATCATTAATTGAAACGCCAATAGCAACGACAGCAGTTCTAATAAATAAATCGTCATCATCACCATCGTCGTCATTATATAATTCGACTAATCAAGTAAACGAGAGCAACAAAATAAAAAAATCACCGCTATCTAATAGATACGTGCAATTTGCAATAGCCGTTTCATTAATTGTTATAGGTTTTGCATTAGCAGCACTTGTATGTTTTTTTTTCCAAACAAAAAGAAAACGCGTACTTAAATCCATTTCACCATCACAACCACCAGATGGACCGTCAACATCAACATCGCCATTACTGGTTACAAGGATGTATGAAGGAGATGGCGAAAATCAAAGAACGGTGATTGATTTGGGAGAATATGGACAAACTACTGCTTTCACTCCCACTACCATCATTGCAGGAAATCATGATGATGAAGAACAAGCAAGCTCCTCATTTTTAAATATTCCATCAGCTGGTGAAACTACTATTTATGGATCATCTGGTGGCTCTACTTCTATGGTTGATCTGGCAACTGTATCTCATCATTCATTAGAAACTCAAAGTGACGCACCATTAATGACCAGAGGTCATTCCGAATAAATGACTTGTAAATATTTGTGTAATGTGTAATCATTGTATTATTAATTTGTATATAGTAGATTTTATTCAACGCTTTTGTTTATATAATAATATGCAATTAAAATAATATTATAAATATTTTGCTATGGTCCACGTTATCTAAAGACGACACTGAAATCGACAATATTTGAGAGCTAAAGGCCAATAACTTCCAAATTAGGAATTTTAGAGAAAAAAATAAACCGATAGAACTGAAGCTAAAACCTAAGTTTTCATTATTATTATCATAAATTTTTGTGGTTCAAAGTTGATGTTTTCATATACGGGGTTCTCCAGCCGAGAAACAAAATATTTCATTACTGTACTAAGTAAATAGGGTCTAAAATTTCACTTATAACTTATAGTAATAGTAACCAATTTTGCTAGAGCCCAATATTAATATATATGTCTGTCTATCTATCTATTATATTCTAACTTTCAATCCATTCTGATTATAAATCACGTGATATATTTTATAAGTACGCAGTTACGCGTTAACATCCCCAGAAAAAAATCGTTCCGTGGCGCAGTTTAAAAGACAAATAACAACCAATTACTAACATAATTTTTGAAGTATCCACATATCCACAATCATCCACTGACCCACAAGCAATAAAATACATGATAAATAAACACATTCATTATAAATGAACGGAATGGACAGAAAAACCAAACCAGGCCCAAAGGTTAGAATAAACATTAATAACAAAACCACTGATCCCAAAAAAGAACAAATTGAAGACTAGGAAACACCTGAAGTCAGATATGAAGGTAGATAGATAACAATGATGGACAAAACAAAACCATCCCCCAGATATAACGAAATAACTCTTACAATAATACAACTGTCACCTCCACTACGACTAACACTGATAACAGTGCTGAAGATATCAACGAAACAAAGGATCAAGACAAAATAGATTGAAGTTGAAAGGAAGTTGCATCACAAAGCATGTATCATGGCACAAAATGTAACTGGAAAAACACAACAGGAAAAAATCAATATGATTACTTTCAAATTGTCACAATTTCAATCACTTCTATAGTACACAGGACGTGTCCGTGTAACAATTTGTCATGCAGACGTGTTCGTTCATTTACTTAAATTTTCCGGACGTTCGGGACTAGTTATACAAGCCGCAAGTTAACGTGAGAAAATACCTTTACCATAAACGTATTATTCGAACCAATATTAAATCAAGACAAAGCAATTCACACTCCATTGT